TTTCCAAGATGAAAAGGTTCAAGAATTACACAAGGTTTTGAGGTTTGTTGCCCCTGGACCAAAACCAAGTTACCCTACTGACAATGTGAAAAAACTCTCATTGATTTTTTAATTATCAAGACTTTGGATTTGATATTTCTAATTTTATTGATTAATTATTACTAATCCAGCAACAGTTCTCAGAGCTCTAGAACACGAGTCTAAATGGGAATCGCGAGAGAAGACATAATCTTGTAGGGGTACATTCGCCTGGAATTTAGTTAAGGAAAGCACAGTAAAAAATCTGATGAAAGTGAACAAGTGCAAGAATTTACTTGACGAGAAATATTTGGTCCTCAACTATTTAGCTGAAAGAATGAATGAATAAATAAATAAATAAAATAAATCTGCATTTGCTGAGAGAGCACCAAAATAAGTTTGCTTCAATTGATGACAACCAAAGATAACAAGCCTGTTTACAGAGAAAATTGTTTTATTACAAATTCCTAATGTTTTTAAATTAAGACTGTCCAATATTTGATACAACAAATAATTCCAATGTTAACTAAAATCATTCATAACAGTTGCATACCAATTGGAGGGAGTTGTCCACTGCCAGATCTCAGTGTAGATTTTTGCTCCAACTTTGTTTAGGTTAGGGAGATATGGTTCCATAGTTTTGGACTTTGAATTAAGAAAGAGTTCTAATAATAAAAGTGATAGTTTTGTCTTCGAATACATAATGGATATTTAGAAAACAACTAAAACAATTAGCACGGATGGATGGAAATACACAATAGTCCTAAATCTTTGCTGATACAAGTGCAAATTAGGTAAACCATTATTGCACACCAAGTTCTTGAAAAAAGAAAAGCAAAAAAGAGCAGTGCTTTGTAAGCCCGCAGAATGGTCCAAAAGGACCTAAGCGAGCGGACAGAAAATCATGCAGTGCATATTCAATATATATATATCCGTGTCCATCTCACACATCCAAAAATGAAAATATTTCAGCACTAACTTCTAGAAAATGTTATATTTTGCTAAATAAATGTATTCATTTTTCCTTTAATTATTATGCAATACATTCTGGGATCCACCATTAACACTCCCCCTCCATGGGCGTTCTCTGTGTCCCAGTATGGCACTGACATTTGACTGTTAAATCTAGTAAGAATTAGACTAGACTTTGAAAATTCCTGGATAAATAAGTACCTTACAAAAGCACAGAGAAGGAAAGTAAGATATCAATATTTCTTTTTGCTCACATTTTCCATGACTGATCTGTTCAACAGAGCAAGGAATTAATGTTTCGAAAAGACTGGACAAATTATTCTGACGCTGCAAGAAGTCACAGTGGTGTAGTTGTGAAGGCAGTGGTTATGGGTGATGAGGTATTAATAGCATAAAAGGAAGATGATAGGAAAGTAAAAGAAATGCTAGTGAACACAGTTAATAGTTTTTAAATTTCATCAGGGTGAATACTTTTCCTGAAACAAATTTTTCTAGCACATTTACAAAAAAAAATTAATTTAATTTAATTTTTTTCTCCCTGAAATATTCTTGAGCATTCCACGTTATTTAAATGAAGTATTAAATAAAAGATTGATTTGGGTACCTGTCACTTCTTTGTAATCTATTCGATTTCACCATGAAAAGACAAATTTGAATTGCTACACACACACACAAAAATTGCAGCAAACGAGAACATTGTACCAATGCTTTTAAAGTGTAAATATTTAAGCTTATAATTGTCTAAATAGTTTCCCAATTTAGGAAGATTCTTCTACAAATTTCGTAGTTTCCCCTTACTCTCACCAGTATTCCAGAAAATGGCAACCCTATTGAAGGTGACAAATCAGAAAATTTACCAATCCCATAGGCACAATGACATTCTCTATGGCTTTGACACAGTTAAGTAATGTTATTAGATGCCCCTCATGCTCAACTGTTATACGAAGGGCAACATGTCAACACACGATCTTGCTAATTTTTTTAAAAAAAAGTTTCAAGTCACCATTAATAATTGTACCAACCTATTACCAACTGACAATCCTGTACTAGAAGGTAACAAAAGATATTCATCTCATACTTGAAAAAATTAATAAGGAAATATGGGAATTAATACCACAAAACGTCTAAAGGAAAACGTGACTTGATACACTGTCTAAAAGGACCACGGACTGAAAACTACCTGCAAATTTATCTCTCTTATTAAGTTCCCGTTATGATATAACTGCCAGTTGCAAAATACAGGATGAATTGAGAATTTACAAGAGATTTCATTAAAAAGAGTCAGTCTGAATTCTGTACTCCAGCAAAAAGGAATATAAATGCTTAGAAAAACTTCAAATTTCTACACTTCTTCATTTCTTTTGAGCCAAATGCATTGATCTACAAAAACTTGAAAAATAGCAGTTAATAGCAATACAATGTTTGTAATTATTTATAACACTCATATATGATTATACATACTTGCATAATCATTTCATTCAATATCATTTGATTAGATTATCTGAAACCTGAAATGAAAGGAAGAGGAACAAGGAATTTGAAATACACTAGAAGTATCTCTTGGTTTAATTTCCTTTGGTTCATAATAGGAAATCTCCACAGGAACAAAAAATTCAAGATAAATATGCATCTCTGTGATAATAGCAATATGATAAAATAATTTTAAAAACAAAACAAGATGCATAAGAGAAATTAAAAATAACAACAGAAAAACAGAGCAGTTAGATACAACATCGAATGCAGAAATTCAACCAGTTTTAATAACAGAGCCATTAATCAATGTCAGACACTTCCGATAATACAAGACAAAAGATAGGCAGGGTTTGGAAATAACAGAAATAACAACAAGGTTTTCCCTTATATAGGCCACAAAGAAATTGGAAGGAAATTTATAACACAAGTATTACAGTGAGGTGACAAAAGTCATGGGATAGCATAATGCAAATATGCAATGACAGTAGTATTGTGTTCAAAATGTATAAAAGGGCAGTGCATTGCCAAAGCTGTCATTTGTACTCAAGTGATTCATGTGACAAGGTTTCTGACATGATTATGGGAATGGGAATTAACAGACTTTGAACATGGAATGGCGGTTGTAGTTAGATGCATGGGACTTACCATTTCGGAAATAGAGAATTCAGTATTTTGAGATCCACAGTGAGAGTGCTGGGTATACCTAATTTCAGGCATTACCTTTCACACGATTCATGCAGATGCTGATGGCCATCACTTAACGACTAAGAGCAGCGGTGGTTGCAATGAGTTGTCAGCGCTAACAGATAAGCAACACAGTATAAAATAACTACAGAAATCAAAGTGGGATGTACGATGTACATATCTGTGGGGACAGTGTGGCGAAATTTGGCTTTAATGGGCTATAGCAGCACATCACCTGCAATGCCTCTCCAGGGCTCATGATCATATCAATTAGACCCTAGACGGATGGGAACCACAGCTTGGTCAGACGAGTCCCAATTTCAGTTGGTAAGAGCTGATGGTAGGGTTCGAGTGTGGCAGGAAGCCCAGGACTCACACTGCAAACAAGGCATTGTGCAGGCTGATGATGGCTCCATAATGGTGTGGGCTGTTCTTACATGTAATGGACCGAGTCCTCTTGTCCATCTGATTGATCATGATTGGAAATAGTTATGTTCAGCTACTCAGAGACCAATTGCAGCCACTTACGAACTTCATGTTCCTAAATGAATTTTTTATGGATGACAGTGAGCCATGCCACTGCACCACAATAGTTTGCAATTGGTTTGAAGAATCATTCTGGACAGTTTGAGCATGTGATTTGGCCACTCGGATCGTCTGACATGAATCCCATCAAACATTTATGGGTGCTAATAAAGAGGTCAGTTTGTGCACAAAATCCTGCACCAGAAACACATTTGCAATTATGGATGACTATAGAAGCAGCATGGCTCGATATTTTTGCAGAGGACTTCCAATGACTTGTTGAGTACATAACCTGCTGAATTTATGCATTTTGCCATGCAAAATGATGTTCGACATGATATTAGGACTTCTAGGCTGCACATGATATAAGGAGGTATCTCATGACCTTTTTCACATCAGTGTAGTTACAAAATTGTAGAAATATTGTACATAAATTTATGTGAACATCTGAAATAAGAAATTACTTGGGAAAAAAAAACCAAACAAACAAAGAAATTCATTACTCATTTAATCCACATTTACCACAAGAAAAACCTTATTGCATACTTCCAACTGTGACTTATTTTTAAGAATATAAAGTGAGAAGTACAGGGATTGTAGGGAATGCTGAAGTAAGATGATAATGACACGAAAAATAAGGAAGAAAAGAAGCTCTGGTCAATGAAACAAAACAAACCAGAAATTTTCAACAACAACAACAAAAAAGTAAAGAGACCCGCTTATGAAAATATTTTAGTTACCAATAATTGAAGAGATAAACTGGTTTCAAAACATTTTGTATGAATTAAAAATGTATTACAGCATTACTCGAGAAGACTTCAGACTTCACAACATTCAACTCGGAACAATTGAAGAAATAAAATACCAAAAATACACCATCACTTTCCAATCAATTAGCTGATTGTTTTTCTATCTTCAATTTACGTAATGATTTTTAATTAAAATCATCAAAAAATATCTCAACAATGTAATGTCCACTTCTGGAGAGTACATGTGCATTCATTATATCGCATTAAAATACAATTTTATAAATATTTTGTTTTCAGAATTTCTTTCCCTTTTCACACACACATTCAAGTATTTCTCAATATCTACTTTTACATAAGTAGTTTTACATATTAGGGTATTACTTTTCAATATTATTAAAATGTCTTTGAAACAAAACAGCAAACTAACTTCCCCCTGATAAATAACCAAAACGATGATACAACAATGACTGTAAGAACACATTTCCTACATGAAATCATTAATTTCAATGCACAAAAATCATACACTTATAAAACATGGAAAGAATATTTTCTTTAACAGAAATTATTAACTTCACTCACCCTGGCGAGCACCTTGAGCATCTAATTGGCTCCAGTACGCTTCACTTGGTGAAGAATGGTTTACTCCAGGAGGAGGTTGTGCAGCTTGTCCTGTGTACCTGAAGTATGGATTCTTCAGATCTAACGTGTTTGACGATCGTGTGCCTGTCCCCTCTACACACAATTCTATTGTCACATCATAGCTCTGCCTGAAAATCAAATAGAAGACAAGTTTCAACAGAAGTATAATTATGAACTGACTGATTGTGAAGCCAAAAGAAAAAATATGAAAGTATAACCGCCTATATGCTTCTATGAGAGAGAGAGACTAAAAATGAAGATACAGATACAAGGCAGCCAAGAGCACTTTTAATCTGGTATAATATTTAATAATGTTTGCCATCTTGCAACCAGAACTGTTCCTCATATACAAATAAAACAACTGCAATCATGAGACAAAATGTTACTTGGTGTGAATGTTTTAAAATCATTTTTGAAGGCAAAATAACACCCCATCCATTTCATACGACAAACATTTCAACCGTTCACTTTCAGATAATTCTGCTATGAAAGGGTACCCAAGGATGCAATAAATGTGTCAGTGTGTCATGTTTGCTTGTTATATGCACAAATGCAAAACTGCCCAAAACAGAGGTATATTAAAACTTCTAACTTTAAATATAACTTAAAACTTGTTTGTTTGTTTGTTTGTTTGTTTGTTTGTTTGTTTTTTTTTTTTAAGTGGAAAAAGTTTCTCATAGTTTTTCCAGGTTTCAGTGATGAAATTAAGTGTAGTTTATATAAAAATTTAATTATTTATATTCAAAATTACGAACACTACTTATTTGAAATTTTGCAGTGTAATCAATATTCTGAAAGAACAAGTAACAAAATTTCATTATATATGATCACAATCAAGCTTTTTCTAAGTAATTTATTTTTGTAAGTGTAGTGTCCACCCCCATTTAATGTTTTCTTATAAAGATTTTCGTTTATGCTAAATTTAAAATCTATTTTTACTTTTTAAGTTATAGTTATTTAAAACATATTTCAGTCCATCACGGGTATTACATCACGTTCTCCGACACCATAAATTCAAGAAAGCAGACTAAGAGCTGTTGTGAAACAGCCAAACATTGGAAGATACAGTGACTCATGAAATTGATCATACATATGATATGAAAGTAGAAATTAAACTATATTATGGTTTACTAAATTCATTATTTATTTTGAACACCATGCCCCAATTTGATATAAATACCAACTTCAATACTCCAATTTTAACTCATTTGAAACTAAATGAACGACTATCTGGAAACTCCCCCACACTCCCCTCATTTTAATCCAATAGAGAACTGGTAGTAGGCCCAGGAACATTAGCAAGGCAGTTTTGACATGAACAAGGCAGTTTTGAAGAGAATAATTGTGGGCGAATGGAACAGAATTCTCCCTATCCCTGCTGCAGTCAGGGCAAAGGGGCTTCCAGCAAAATACTGACGAGTACATTTTTGCTTCCTTTCACAATGGTATTTTATTAAGAATAATCTGATAAAACAATCATAACAATTAAATTTGTGTCAAAAGAACAATATTGTTAATCTTATATATAAAAGACAATGTTTGTTGGTTCATACTTAATGCGCTGCCATACCGTTCATCCGATTACGATAAAACTTTGTCAACTTATTGCAAAAAGAATATAAGCATAGTAGGATGGGATGCCTGGACACATACACGCATTGATGATTTCATGCTGTCTCAAGTGCTCTGAAGAGGGCACTCTATGTAATGGTGCATCACGCAACACGTTGCACAGTGAAGTACAATTATTAAGATGTCTTCATTGTGTATTCTGCCCCTGCGATTGTGAAATTTCTCCCAAAAGCAACAGAGGGAGAGACAGAGGAACACAAGAGAGAGAAACAAACAGACACCGAGAGACGGAACCACATTTACGAGAAAGTATTTCGTCTATTGAAATTTTTGTAGAGCAATGCGTAAAACGTGATTAACAATCACATGACCAGGAGCATGTTAAGTGTAATGCATTGCAAGAGGGAAGCATTGCTGGGTCACCCGTAAACTATAATATTAAAATACAATGTTAATTATTTTGTTTATTTAATTTCAAATGAGTGAAAATGTGATGTTATCAAGTCAGTATATATTTGAAAAACAAGAATGGTGTTCAAACTATAACTGATTCATCATCATCATCATCATCATCATCATCATTATTATTATTATATTTCAGTTAATACAGCGTATGTATGATCAAATTTGTGAGTCATTGTAAATCTTATCTAAATGTAACAGCAACAATTGATTTTATTGGTATATGTGAATCATATACAAATGTACCTTTTGTAGAACTATTTAGGTCTGACATGCTACTCCGTGCGCGTGCACGCGTGCGTACGTGCTCATGTGTGTGCGCATGCATGTGTGCAGTGCGTGTGTGTAAGGGTCTGAATTTTCTGTGTCTTTGGGGATATCCGTCAGTCGCTCATAACATTATTGGCAGACATCACACATGCAGAACAAAATGGGCTCTCCTTTTTGAATGTGTTACTGGTCTTGCCACCAGATTCAATTTTCAGACAATGGCAGGAAACTGATTTTCCAAACAGAGGTATCTACTTTCATGTCAGGAACACAACTGCAAAAGAACTTGTACCACGAATCAGGGCGCACACTGCAACCAACTGTGGCTGCACCAACCCTTGTGTGGATGCGATAGTTCAGCCAGTTTTCCATGTTGCCCATTCTCTTCCCCATTTCCATGCTGTATATCTCTAGGTCTATGAAAAGCTAATCATGGCAGTTCAACTGCAAGTGCAAAGGAAGCCTTGTAGAGACATTTTCACGTTTACTTCTGCTAGGTATAGACGCAGACCAATAATTCTTTAGTACTTTGGCACCACATTCCTGTGGTACAGTGAACATTACAATGCCCAAATTCAAAGGCTGCAACAGACTTATGCAGTTGTCAGGGGAAAACTGTTTTTTAGATCTAAATTCTTGAAACATGATGGACACTGGTTCACAAAGGGCAATTTTTTTCTGTTGTGAGCCTCCCATTTTTACATAAAGACCAAGTACTCGTGAATAAAGAACTGATGTCAAGTGGTGGTGTTTGAAGCATATGAAGTTTACAATGTCTTAACATATTTAAACCAAGGTGGCTTTTTAGGCTTGCTAATTAGAAATGGATGCAAGGCTTTAGTTCCACCAGCATTTGCCCCCAACATTACTGTAAGGTGAGTTTAAGTGTATGCTTGTGGCATGCTTTACCCTTCAATGAAGGGTGAAGTATGCCCAATTTACACAATTTGACTGCTTTTTTATTTCTGTGTTAAGGTTTGTTTCTGAACTAATATATTAATTTCTTTTGTAAATATCAAACAATTTACATGTTTCTGGATTGTTTTTATGATTATGCAAAGCAAATTTTGGCATAGAGGTATTTTTTCAAAACAGCTTTTTCTATTTCAAGAACCTGGCTTTAAATGATTAAACTACTTCACTGATGACATGTCCGCAGAATAATTAAGGTTATTTCTCAATACGTGTGAGATAATTTAATTGAAAAACAATAACAAAATATAATAGCAGGACACAGATCGAAAGGGAAGTCTTGACAGTGTGTCTTTTCACACTTGATTTTCCACTGAATAGCTTGTCAAATGCCTAACTGTTCTGGGTCTGTTCTATTCTGCAAATGAATTCTTAAAATGTTTGTTCTTAAACTATACAATGTGAAACTGGCAACAGTGGAATTACTATATTTCACATGATACATTTGATCTGTGCTGTTGCATTCACTCAAGTTTCCAGTTTCCACCAACAGAATGAAAGAACTGTTCACTCAGAGAAACTACACCTTAGGTTACCATTAACAGTTTGCACTCCACATAATATTGGAAAAACATTCCACTTTTGATTACATGAAAATTGTATGTTTTGTTGCTAACTCTGTAATAAAAACCTGAAGCTGAAATGTCTCGGACAGTTTACATAAAGCGCATAAAATGTGCATTACATTTAAAAGACTCAATACATTCATGTAACCTTTCCCATTTCTATTGATCTACATTATTTTCAAATATAGCCTAGCTAACAGAGCACTATTTCTTTCAATAGCATCCACTTTTAATAAGATTTTACCCAAAGGACCATCATCATAATTTTTCAAGTTCATGCACAGAGTGAAAGTAAACAAAACCCAAAATTTATAACTCCACCAAACTGATATCTGAACTAAGAGAGATCTGTAGACACGCCAGTCTCATGTACATATTGCACAATTAAATTCTGATAACAGCTCAAAGACTACAATTGTAATATTGTGAGCTAATAATACATAACATTTCAAAAAACGATTAAATGATGACAAACAGGTGTAGATCCATATAGAGGGAAATTTCCCCCCCTAAAATTTTCCAGTCATTATTAATTTTAACTTGTCATGAAACTTTCAAGCAAACATATTTTCAAATAATCATTAAAACAAATACAATCTTAGCAATCTTGCAGCATGAGCTGAGTGTAACCTGACACGTTTAACAAAATCTATAAGATGACTCATTCGACAAAACATTTTGAATCTCCTCTCCCACATTTTGTCTCTAGATCTGCACCTGTGACAAATTATAATGTCACTCTACACTCCTCACAAAAGTATTACACAATCTGCTGTTCTATCAAAATGAATACATGAATATTTGTCTGCTTCATGCACTTGATATGTATCTCCGAGAATATCAAACTAACCTCTCATGAAACCGAGAATATCAACCTAACATATAATTGGAAGGAAAGACACATTTATTTTATGTATTGACATGCAATATACTTAATAATAATAATAATAATAATAATAATAATAATAATAATAATAAATAATAATAAGATGCAGTTTTTTGAATTACACAGAACTTGCATATATGCAAAAAGCTCAAAGCAGCAGTGTAACATTGCCTTTCACCCAATCAGTGATCCCTGTGAGGCTTTGTTTACATCCTCTCTTTTCTCCGAGTATATACAGAATGTAATTGAAATTATGAAATTCTTACAATGATTACTACTTTCATTTTCCTTACAATAATCACAAAGACACAATTTTATAAATAATATACCTTTGATTCGCAACTAGCAAAACTCTGCCTGTTAAAAGTTGGCCAGCCTTCACAAAAATTGGAGTCTCTAGTAAGCATCTAACTTGATACCAATGTGTAAGAGGCTCGGATGGTGCAGTTGACAACCACACTGTTGAGTTTTTTCCTATAAAAGCTACATCAAACCAAAATGCAAGACCATGAACAGTGCCAGATTCCAGTAGATGAAACTGAAGAGGTATTTCTGAAAAATGAAAAAAAATCCAGTTCAACAATGAGACAAACAAGTTTATTAAATAAATGTAATTGTCTGGAATCACAAACCAATTCGGTGAAGGTCTGTTTCTTTTGCTGCTTGGAAATCCACAACATGTCGCACCGATTTTGCCATACATACTCGCATATCAAATGTATCCACAATCGGCTGTCTGAAGTATTCTTTCATAGCTGCATGCCTGAGACTACTCAGGTCTACTCCATGAAAACATTGTTGATACCTGAAAATGAGTATTTGGCAAGTTAAATTAGCATTAATATATAGAATTGTTTCTAATTATCACAGATAAATAATATTGTCAGTACCAGAAGTTGGCTTTATTGAACTGCTCCATATAGAGGTTGTCATCAGTAAACGGTGCTATATGCAAATCACCCCGGCTTGGGAACATCACACCTGTTGTGCCCAACACTAAAAGATAATAATAATAATAATAATAATAATAATAATAATAATAATAATAAATGAAGTTATTTCAATGGTTGTTCAAATAACATATAGGTTAGTGGCTACAATCGTGAGCTTCTTGTGCAAGATAAATTTCATAATTGATCATGTCTAGAATTACATACAATGTTCAAACAATAGTTCCAATGCTAAACATTTATTTCAATACATCTGCAAGAGGTTGCTGGATGAATCGCAGTTAAAGGACAAACAGTGGCACAGTGCGACAAAATCAAACAGGTAGAGAGCAATACTAAGGCACTGAGTTTTCCAAAGCGCGATTCTGTTATCCCACAGTCGACACCTTACATACCAAACAAATACATCAGTTTAATACTGAAAACTTGCACTCATTAAAAAAAGTTGATGCATAACAGCTACTTTCCAAACATTCAACGGCAGTGAAAAACTACAGCATACTACCCCCCCCACACACAACACACACACACACACAAAGACGTGCTTTACTCTCAAGCACTACTGATCAAGGGCGCAAAACTAAGGATTTCCAAAATTAATACAGCTCATCTGGCCAAGGTGAAAACCATTGCCACATTCTAAGGGTATTGTTTGTGGAAGGTGATAAGGCATGTGAGCTCATTCATGTTAATATTCTCATCATGTGCAGGAAAGCAAGAAGGATGCAGAAGGACTTTTCAACATTTGTACATGGTGAAAGGCTCATTTTAAATGTTTTATGTTCTGTATATATTGAGTTTTCACACCTTTGCAGTGATAATGGTGCTGATTATCTCCTGAACAGGACCTTATTTGCATAAAGCCTACATCTCAATTGAGATATTTTTTAAACCTTTAGTGTCGTTATCAGAAAAACTGTGATGTGAATTCGAGAACAATCAAAATTAACCTTGAAAATTAAGCTCGAGTGCAGATACATGAACTTATGTGTATATTAGCTATCCCCACATATACGATTTCCTGCCTATAATGGTGAAGAATCGGTCCATACACATCTCTTATACAGGAATTCTTCTGTGTTTTTTAAAGAAATTTATATCATTTTATTTGAACCTTTTCTATTTATTCTTCAAGTGGTAGACTGTCTATTTTGCTTCCCCTCACAATATACCACTGACAGTATCACACATTTCTTCAGCAGAAATGAAATTATTACTCTTCAAAAACTATTTCAACAGATCAAAGATTTAATAAGCAGAGATCTACATGAAGGTGCGGGATACATACAACTACGGAGAAACAGTCTAAGACACATTTGTTATCCTGCTAATACTGATATACAAGTGTTTAAAAAATGTTCAGCATTATTGAAACATATTCTGATTGGTAACTATTACAACAAAGATTTTTTTTGTTCTAAACATTAAATGTTTCACCTTCATTCCAGCAGTTCATAATACTGTGCAAGGATGGTGCAAACAACTAGTATCCTTCTTTTTAGAGGATGTAGAGGCATGTTCAGCTCTGTAATAGTCGCCTGAACTCTCTTGACACTTGAGTAGAGTCTCTAAAGACGGCTCCACACATTCAACAAGCAGCAAGCTACTGTTCACCCACTCTCGAACAGCTGATATATTCGGCTAATGTTTGCTCCCTTTGACGTGCCCTAAAGACCAACACGTGGGAAGGGTAAAAGTTCGGCGCTCAGCGAATTGCAAGCAACCCGTCCACACTACTCTGGATTCATCAAGCAGTTGCTCGAGATTTGCCGAATGCCGCATGTATGGAGCTCTGTTCCTCTGGTCAAACTGTAAGATTCTAAGTACCAGTCTATGATTGGAACAACTTGTACAAATATTTAATATGAGGAATAACCTGTCAAAAATGATGCTATGAAATTAAACTCTCACATTAATAATGAATAAAATACACAACTCCTAAAATGGATTTAAAAAAGCTACGTTTTAAGAATTAGAATTCGTGAGAAACATTTTTTCTGAAACTGTTCTAGATCATGAAGAAAAAGAAGGGCAAAATAATAATATATGGTTCCCTATTCAGCAATGTATATTGATAAATCACTCCACAATTCACATAAAAAGGAAACCTTGTTATTGTAATTTTCTGTCCCTTTTGAAGAGACCCACCCTTTGAAATCAATTTAGGGATCGATTTAGGAAATCAATCTTGCTGTATGATCAACTCTAACTACCAGTCCTCTTACTCACTCCACCCTGCACGTTACAAAAACTATGGATGTCTTTCCAATAGCACCTGTGATTATATAGTGACCCTGTCGATTTTTAATTTTTATTATTATTGCTTATTAGGTCACTTGAAAAATCATTTATGTCAGTATATACTTAAATCATAGGTAATAATATGGAGAAAAAACAAGCAAGTTTCTATCTTGATCCAGCTCTTTCGAAATTTAACATTACAATTGAGGGGATGCAGGAAGTTTTGACATTGATATTCGTAACAAAATCTTACCTTCATCTTTCAGCCATTTCTTAGCATGTAGATATGTTTCTAACATGCGTTCATTATACAGCATATACCCCATAGGTTCAGAAATTATTACATCAACTTTCTCAGGTAATGTTATTTCTTCAATTTTTCCAGCAATCACCACAATTTTTCCTTTCAAATTGTTAGCGTTTACCAAACTCTGGCAACAGAATAAAAAAAATACATTAATAGGCTACATCAACTTCGCCGTCAAAATTTAATAATCAACTAGTTATCATTAACTAGAAAAGAAAAAGACAATAAAATGGTAGGAAATGCATTTTATATTTGTTGAACTTGATACATTTTGATCATCAAGGAAAGTTTATCTTATTCTCTTTAAAACTGTACCATCTCTCAGAATGAATACAGCCAGTGGCCTTTTGGCTGTCAAAAATGGACTTCCATTTTTTGCAACTGAATGGAATTAGAACCATTGACATTTACCTATTTCATTGGGGCAAATTAATCAAACTACACATTTACTGACATATGAAGTAAGTTTTAAATAAAATAAAGCATATGCAATCAGGACAATTCTTTATATCTATCATTATGTGATAATACTTTGTCAATTTGGGAAAAGTTTTGCATTTTTGTTTGAATGCAAGTCAAGTGGCTTGTAACAGTCCGTAACATTATAAATGATTTTGTAACCCCAAGTTTTTAAATATATATGTTATGATTTAATATTTACGTCAGTAAGTTCATAATGTAACAAATCCAAAATATTTGATTTTTAATTACATTAAATTATAATACATTGTCAATTTTATTCAGTTGTGTTTATTTTATTGGAAGACTACTAATATATTTATAGTTTAAATGTAACACTACATTGGAAAGTTCTTCGAAGAAATCTGACAGGTAATTCCAAGCAAATATTTTTATCTAGCAACCACCAAAACTAATTCATGGTGTTCCATGATCTCGTGGTGTAGGTGTAGATTAGCCAATATTATACACTTGGTTGACACAACAAAAATTCAAAAACATCTCTAAAAAAAAAACAAACATACAGATCATTTAAATGACTTGATTGTTCATTTATGTATTAATATCTATTACGTATTCAACAAATAAATAAATAAAAATAATTGATGCACCACTTAGTAACAACTCATCCCCCACATGCCATCATGGACATCATTTTCTCTATATATAAATATATAAAAATAAATAAAACACATCCTTAAATAATGCTATGACCCTTCATGAACCTCCCATAAGCATCTGCTGTGCAAGCTTGGATGTTTGGGTAAGTTACTACAATGGACTCAAAAATGCTTGAAGAGATGTAATTTTCAACACACTCTCAAGTGCTCTATCATCTGTGAGACCAGTGAGTAGTGAAGTTCTGCTCAGCTCAATCCTTTTCATCTCGACAAGCGTCTAGAGAAAATATATCAACCAACTCTAATAGTTTTGCAGAAGATTTCCAGTTATCAACTAAGTCAATCAAGTTGTAGATCATGCAATACTACAAAAAAGACTTGGACAAGAGAGTATATTGGTACGAGAACTTGGGTCTTCCATTGATGAAGGAAATTTGGGTTTTGCACAATGCAAAGACAAATCCTGAACATTGATTTTTATTTATATAAATACTAAAGTCATGTTTACTTTTTACGTCATAGCTTGTGCACTGTTCTAAAACATCCACAAATCGTATTGAAATGAAAAAGTCTATTTTGGTTCACTTTATGTAACAGCCAATATCCTTAGTTAGAATACATTAGTAAGAGGGTCAGTCAGAAAGTAATGCCCCACATTTTTTTCTTCAATCAAATAATAATGGTAGATAGTTATAGTTGTAAACACTTTCAAGTCTCTCCTACAGATGACAGTTCCTCAACGACCTTCCTGTTTATATGGCAGTTGTAGATGACATGCATTACAAACAGCATGTAGCGATTGAGTTTCTCAGTGTTCAGTGTAAGGCACCTCTACTGTCGACAGGAGTACCATTGAACGTTTCGCGGATGTTTGGAGTACCATTGGACGAGTTAGAGCTTCGGAAAGTGAGGAATGTGATCTCCATGATTTAATGCACTACAGGCATCCCTGATAGCATCAACTCCTCACACGCTGATCACTGTCTTCTCGGGCATTGATGGTGTCCGTCAATTCAAATTTTTACATCAACACTCTGAATACCTTAAAGAACTGTTTCTCAGAAGTTCAATTCCAGAAGAACTGTGTAGAAAGTATGCTCTTGCAAGATAACATACGCCATCACACAGGTGTGCATATGGAAAAAGTTTTATATGGTAGAAAATTTAAAGATGACACTAATGTGATTGCACTTGTTTCATGCTGGCTCAAAGCTGTACATGTCAATAGAAACGTGGAAAAAGAGAGTAAGTAGAATAATCATGTATTAATATTGTGTGCAAGTTTCACGTTCCTCAAATTACTATTTAGGGACAAAAAATTTGGGGCATTTCTTTCTGACAGAACCCCATCCTTAACGATATGGGGCCTAACCAAAATAACTTCAATTTGAAATTAGGGGAAGCTGTTAGGAGTAATGCCCTTCTATATTGTGCAGTTGCGAGATGGCCATGAGAGTGTCAGCATGTAGCAACCTGTGATCAGCAACACACAGGGCAACCTGCAAGTGTGCGGACCAATGTGGCACATGCAGTAATTGAGCACTTGGTGAAGGGAGGCAGACTATGAACACTACTGGAGTCAAAGAGCGAAAGTGGTATTGAGAAATGCACACTCACAGGTCTTCCTGTGCGTTGCTAATCAAAAGTGTATTTGTCCTGACTGAACCACTCCTGGCTTTCTTGCAACCGTCCGGTTTAGAAGGAAATTATTCGCTACAGCTCCCAATAATTTCCAGTGTCATCCTGGGGCATTTCTTCCATGAAGAACAGATGTCTTTATGTAGAAGCATCACTTGAAAGGGTTAGGTTCATCTCATACGGCAGTAGTCAGACAACTGATTTGACATAGCTCCCTGTGCTAATAGACACACTCAAAAAAACCATCTGTTGTTGTGAATTTCTATCAGGAAATAAATAAAATTATGTGATCCGATAATATTTCTTTTAGAAAAAAATAGTTGCTATGACTTGTCCCATGACGCCAACCTTTGTAATAATGATAAATTGATTTTCAATTCATTCATTACCACCAGATTTTACCAAGTGTTGTTTGTGAAGTGTGTTTTATAAGTGATCAAACATTGTTTAATATTGTGGAGCTGTATATGTGGTGCAGGCCAATGTAAGTTTTATCGCTCATGTTCATAAACACAAATGTACAGAGTAGTGCTAGAGAAATATATACGAAAAATCAGAATGGGATGGTGCTTACCTCTGCATGTTGGGCCATTGTACTAGCCTCTACTGCATAAACACGTCTTGCCCCAGCTTGGATTGCAAAAAAAGAAAGAATTCCTGATCCAGCACCAACATCGAGTACCACTTTATCTTTGAAGTCGTCAAGGTTAGCAAGAATTGCACGCTGATATGTGCTAGTACGAATATAATCTTGCATCATGTTTTGTTGTTGTGATAAATACCCGTAAAACTGAAAACATCAAAATGAAATTGCAGTCAACTGGCCGCATTATAGTGGAAATATATTCAATGCACATAAATTTTTACCTGAAAATACTGAATGGCTGATGAATCGTCTGTGCGTTCTGTAAATACTGACGTTCCTTTCCCTGATTTGACCTTATTAATATTCTCATGAAATCTCCTCGCCTCTGAAATAAATTAAGGTTATACAACTGAAAATGTTCATTGTTAAATCATTAACAATTCCAAATTGAAGAACAAACCTGCTGCATCTCGAAATTTAAATATAATACTCTCTGTGTCCAGAGTTATCACATACGTTAGAGAGCCTATGCGAGCACATTCCGTGTTTCTAACCACAGGAATCTCCGTGAGATCTTCTGTTGTCCCAGAATCTAAAACAAGGAGAATAACACATGATTTAGAATCTAGATTTTGTAACAAATTATTAATCTAGTTTGATAAGGAAAGTGATAATTTTAATACACAACACAATTAAAAGGGGTTCAAGTATTCCAGTACACAGCTGGTTCAATAGTTATTGATAAATCAAATTTGTTTATTTCCTTTCTTCAATTTGTTTACATTCATTCACAAGCCTTCCTTTAGAAGAAAAGTAAAATGGTGCAATTCATGTCGTACATTTAGCATGTAAAAAACGCGAGTCTAAAAGATGTCACCTCAGTAAATCTTGAATAAGACTATTCTGCTATAAGTTATACTTTGTATACATATTTTAGTGTATTTATATGTCTGCCGAGTCATAAAGCATCTGGAATGTATGTAAAGGAATTAAGGGCTAAAATAAGATCATTAGATCTCATCAGAACTGGCTTTCAGCATAATCTGGTATTGTGACGATTCAATTTCTACACACGTTACACACTAGTTATTTTTGGCCAAATTACAATAATGTTTTCTTGCCTATCAGCGCCAGGTAGTTTCAAATCAAGACCAACTAAGAATTTCTAACAAGACAACAACCAAGTTGTAAAAGAATCTTGTCAGCATCACAGAAATACAAGCCAACATTTTGTATAAGACTAAAGACAGAAAAAGTACTTTGATCCCCAGGATAGTAGGTATGAACATTAAAGTCAACTTAAAAGAGGACCTACAAACCACAACGCGAACAATTAAATCATTCTAAAAAATGTCACCCAATATAATTTAACTACAATCAAATCCATTTTATTCTATTTAATTAAATTTGATATTTTGTTCAATTCAATAATAAGAGAAATGACCGACAACAGAATCACAATAACAGGACAAATGGAGACTACTTTAACACCAGTGGACTACTTTTAGTATGGTCAAGAATCACATTCGGAACTATCACACCTTTCTTCACATTTCAACAATATGTGTAATACTAACATGATGGATTGTCATTGTGATATTAAATGTGTTCTTTTTCCCTACAATTACATGGATTTGGTCAAGAAATGTGTAGCTCTATTCACTATTTTGAGATGGAACTTCTTAAATGCAATTAAAGCGGGAGTGCTTCATGTATTTCTCAGATTCACGCAACAGAAATTTTGTGTTGATGATTAGCTATGATGCGTTTGTCTGAATTTCTGAGAGTTCCTTAATAGTTATTTTCTGAGGATACTTGACAGTCCATGTTCATCTTTTCACTGAAAGGTACCATGAAGTATTGTCAAAACATGATTATTGCTTCGTGCTGAATCTGTTAGATATGTTGGGTGCACACACAGCAGTGAAGTGTGAGCTCCTGTGCAAGAGGCTATCAAAGATTTGTGTTCATAGAATTTAAATTTGACTAATTGAGATGATGTATATATTATCACAATTATAATTTTGTACAATAATGATAGTAATGACTACGGGGCAAACTTTGATGACTTAAAACATCACCAAAAATGATCAATAAAATGCTCTTAATAAGTTTCAAAAATGCCCTAAAAGCAAAGAAAAATGACAAAAAAATTAATGAAAACGAGTTCAGATCAAAAAGTCAAGCAGCTTACTGATGCAATTGAGGCTTTTTCCTATTGTTCAAATGAACTCAGCTTGCAAACTTTTGGTTTGGACAGTTCTGTATCAGGAAATCTTTTTCTTTCGTCATCATAAAATTGGCCTAACTTACAATGGCGCTGATAAGCGTCACAAGATCCTTAGATTACATACACCCTACAACTTATATTACAATAGTGAGTGAAGAAATAGAATATGCTACTCATGAATTCAGTGGAGAACATTTGATACATCTTGTAAATAATGTTATTTGAAGAAAGTGCCATTAAAATGATATTAAAATCGATGAAATCAGCAAAAAATGCTTTAAAATGATAGAAAAAGGTATAAAATGACTTAATAGAAATAGACAAGAAATGCAAAAATGGGTCCTATAAAAATGGGTCATTTCCTTTTGTCATAACATAAAATTAATGTCTGTACAAAAAGGCATTGTTTGAAAGTGAACAGATGGCACTTCATCAAAATTCGCCCCCTAACAATGACTATGATCTCAAATGGAATACATAAGAATCTTAGGTGTCCTGTGATCCCAAAAACAAATGCATTATTTTTGTATTGTGCATGCATTATGATGTTAGAACAGATGACGGTAGATAAAAACAGATATTATTACTCATAACTCGCACAAGGTTGGAGTTGACCCTATGAATGAATTATTAAATCTTACCTCGCACAAGTCGTACAGCAAAATGTACAAGGGGATTGTCAATGGTTAAATTTCACTCTACCCTCAATATTTTTTTAGAAAATACAGTAAAACACCTGTTTCACACTTTTTAGGGGACTGATGAGAAAAAGTGTAAAATACAGGAAAGTTGAAAAACGATATGTTAGGCGAGTACTTTCATTATTTGCTGCAATGGTTTCCTCTGGCAACTGCAACTCTGTTTTCACTTTCTCGCCCTTCGTAAAAAGAGAAAGTAAAAGCATGGGCCAGAATCGGCAATTTTCGCTAGAAAATCTCCTATTGACGTGCCCTGGTAATGAAAAAGTGGATAAATCATATTCCTATACTAGTAAATTACTTCGTCTAACACGTGGTGTAGCCTGAATTCCTGTTTTATGGGTCCTTGAAACCACAAAATCGATTGACGACTGTTTTTTTCGGCTGAAAACTTCTGTATGCCCGTCAGTGGTCAACGCGAGCGCCTAAAGCGCCTGTCGATATTCTCCAAAATCTGAACTCTGATCTGAACGAACGCGAGACTTTTGCGAGTTCGTTACATACATATGTAGTAATTTACTACATATTGGCACAGGATTTATCCACTTTTTCTGTATCAGTTCGAGTTTTTCTGTCGAAAAATAGCCGTTCTTTGCCGCAGCAATACTTAACTTTCTCAGCACTAGGTATAAAACGTACGCATACGAGAAAGTAAAAAATAAAATAAATTAAAAAATACTTAATAGACAGGAAGCATTCTATATATCAAGTTATAAATTGCGGGAAGAGAATTCATTGTAAATAGTCTTTTAAACGGGACCAACGAAAAATTACGTAAACGGCAGGACAACGTAAAATAAGGGAAACGTAATAAGGGGGTTTTACTGTACTCACATAATATATTTTGGGAATAAAAATAAAATTATAAATTGAAAAAAAATGTAGAATTATATCGTAGGGAAGAAGTACTTCAGTCGAGAGCTGAAAGAATCATAAGGTTATCTTGCAGAACTGCACATAACATTACTTTCTTCTGAGAAAGGTGTCCATTCAGAAAAGATTCACTCCACTATTGTGGATTCATTGCAACATTTTTCCCCCAAGAAAAGAACTAGGAACAACAGCACACACTTTTTTTACGTTATTTCTAATTTTCGAAATTTCAACAAAAATGAGAACCGATATGTTTTTTAGTTTAAGCATGCTTTGTTCTAACTTTGGGAAAACGTTTAAGAAAGAATTTGGAGTATTTTTAGAAAAGTAATTATGAATTGCGTTAACTTCAAGTAGAAATTACGCAAAAACTATTTATTTAAATTGTATATGGCCTTATTTAAAGATAAGTTTAAAAAAACGAAGATTTCATCTAAGAAAAAGTCTCTGTTATCAATATTGTACTTTTGCTACGTGAACATTCCATAAAATGTTACACGCAATTTTCAAAAATACAGAGTAAGCCGAAAATGGGACCAGTAAGAGAAAATTTTGAACAATTTTTGAGAAAAAAGTTATTTAAAAAAATGCCCGAACTTTCTTACTTTGCGTTACTTTGTAACAGTGTAGTTTGGGAATAATCAGCGAAGGATCAGAAAACGTTAGTTTCATATTTATTACCTTCCTTTCACTTCCTACGAGGTTCTCAAGATTCCTTTCTTCTGTTTGCCTAGTTAGTGTTGACAGTAAAGGGCAGAACGCGCAGTACGCGGCAACGCCCTCCCCCTCCACACACAAATGTTAACTACGTTCTAGTTTTATTCGTACTATCACGTTCAAAGGAAATAAAAACTGATTTTTGAAAGGCCGTCGCGGCGACGCGGCTACTCATGCCTTTCGAGCATGCGGTGATGTTTACGCTCCACTGGCAACGCCGGGCGCTGACACAACTGTCACCCGATTGGTTCAGAGCCTGCCGTTGTCATGGAGACGTACAGACACAGACCATGTGCACATTCCAAAGTTCCACCTTCAGCTATATTACACTGATATTTACCCGTGCCTATCAATAAAACGTATTTTATACGAAATTAAGAACTCGTAAAAGCATTTAAAACAGGATGTGTGCTTTTGTCAAATTCAGATATTCGTACAATACTTGACGCAATGCTTCCATTCGCCAAATTGCAGTCAATAGCGTATCACCAAAAACCTGATTCATGCAATTTCTCAAACCATTTCATACCTAAATATTAACATATCAAAAATAAAATACAAGTGGCCTGTAGGAGCACAAATGCTGCAGAACAAAAACAAAATGTTTTCCAAAACGTAGCAGGAACACTGCTCAGGGACAACCAAAGTACTCTGGTAAAACACAACAATAAATGAAATATTTTAATAAAATCAGTTTTAACGAATTCTACAATAAAATAATATAAAATATACACAGTTCAATGTTCTTTACGTATCAAGAACAAAGTTGCTGTTTCATAACACAACAAGTGTATAGCAAATGGTGCGCGGCATCTTAAAGCCCAGTTAGCATATTCTATTCAGACATGAAAATGAATTAATTCTGTCTATATCGTACAATACCGGTCCTGGCTTGCTCTGCCTTATGTCAAGCTGCTTAAATCTACCCTGCTCCTTTCTACATCTCTCGCCCTGTGTGGGTGGCTTCGCCCCACGCCTGCCCGCCTTACCCTGCAATGTTCACGACGACCAGCGTTGCTATCATTACATACGAGTTCGGAAGTGTAGACGTCAGAGACTTCCAGCTTTCAAATGACGCCTATTTGCTGCGATTGAGTAGTTTACTTG